TTCTGTATAAGCAGTTCGCCAGCAAAACTGCGATAGGTCTCACGGCTTTTGCGAAAGTGCCAGAAACTCGGGCCAGGAAATTCTGGGTGTTTATTGGCATTTCTTTCGCTGATAAGACCTTCGTGCTGAAACGAAGTGTCTGTAAGCCACAGCCCGTCAACGAGCTCGAACGTGGTATCCACATGGAGTATGCTGTCACCAAGAACACAGAAACGATAAATGTCATTCATCGTGTGACTTGGTACATTTACAGATGTATATTGTTCTTTCGTGAAAGTAACGCTGTTAAGTATGGGAACTTTATGAAGACTAGATATCAAACTTTCCGCTTCACTGTGCTCTGTTGCCGTGCTTGTATCACGAGACGCTTTGTTATGATACCTCCTGTTTGCGATCATTTTTGGGTCAGAAGATAGTTTGACTAACAGTATCGGTATTCCTGTTAGCCATTTCACCACATATTTTGTCGGTGGACATCCCTTTATCTAGTAGGTTGTCGATGGTACTGAAAACCTCTGGTTCTTTACGGAAGTAACTTGAAGATGTGGGCTTCTTTGCGTTCCCGTGTCGTTGAGTTACAAACTCCTTTTCTCCTTCTGTCCACTTGTAAATAACGAGGTAGTAAGGTTTTAACTCTTTCTCTTTGATTTCCTTCACAGTAGCAATTGTTCGAGCGAATGTTGGGTTCCATTTACTTGCTCTATAGAATCTTGTAAGCTCGAAAACTTCAGTATCTGGTACGTAATCCCGTCGGTATCCTTTGGCTGTCTTAACGTTGGCATAATAGGTTCCATTTTCATTGTGGACTATGCGTGATCCATCGGCATTGTACTGAAACAACCTCTTGGCGTTTCCTTTTGATATGTAGGCACCATTATCATCTGCTTCTGCTGATGATATTGGTATCTCACGCATGTCCAGTGTAAAAATTTTGTCTTCTCTAATAGCAGATGGTTTATGTTTTAAAATGAGCTCTTCGGGACTTTCCAGTAAGATATTCAGGATTGTAGAACTGAAAAAAAGGTTATTGAATAAATGAACAAATTACACGGTTGCGCGATTTTATGTTCGATTGGTAAAAACAATATATAAGGGGCGAGTGCAGTGTAATTCATATCTTCAAGCCAAACTGAGGCAAAATTAAGTAGAAACATAAGAAATTGGCGGGAAATTGTTTGAAGACACGCGGGTACATCGGGCTGGATGTGACGTGGAACATAACTTTGCATAACTTCACTAGTACAAATATGGAAAATAGGAGTGTTTCTGTTTCAGGTAAAACACTGTTATCCATATAGTAAATAATTATTAGCTAACTGCAAAGATTGCTTGGCACATTTTTCGGTGTACCGAAACAATCATTTTCCGGGAAAGCCAATAATATGCAAATTAGCATATTAAGAATGTATTTCCGAAAAGCCAATATTGGTTTAGACATGTTACATCAAATTGATATTAACAATCATATTGGAAAGCCTAATTATTTAACTAACTATTTCTGAATCTTCAATCTGCAGATAATAATATATAAAAATATGTTAAAATACGATATATTTGCAATTGATTCCATGACATCATTGACAAATGTGCATATATTTGATATGGGGCTTATTTTTCCCTGTGATGGTTTACTTTTTAAACTTGCGCCGCAAAACGAATTGACCAGGGCAATTAAGTGAATCGAAAAGCGAAATGATAAATGTGTAAAATAAGAGGAAAGCGAAAATGGAAATAAGACTTTTTTTAAGTTTGGTTATCAAATTTTGAAGCAAAGTTTCAGCAAGAGAGGTAATATCAGACGGAAGAGTTCAAAGAAAGAAATAGCAAACACACTTTAAAAATTATTGAGTTTTTGTATATGTAATACGGTAATCTTTTCTTGTCTTTCTTCAAAAACTGTTTGCAGCTAAACCTTTACGTGACAGATTTCCGTACCACTTCTCGCGGAAAAATATGATCTGAATATTTCGGGCTCATTAGATTCTCGTCGTTATTACGCTAAAAACGCTTTCTGTGCTTAGGATTTTTAATTCTAACAATCTACATGCGTTCTAGTGTATTTTCTTAGCTCGTGATTCAATCTTAGTTCCCGCGAAAAAATGAAGTGACCAATCGTAACCCCGACGACAGATAGGAAGAGACTCATTGTTTACACAACTTCAAAGCTTTTAACTCGGTTCGAGTTTAATATCGCGTACAACACAACACCATAAAACTGTGTCATTATCGAGTAATACTTATCGTACGAATATAATTTACACCAAACATTTAGCCGAAAATACTCACCTTAGGCACTTTCTTCGGCGGAGCAACTGTTCTATTTTCTTTACTTGTACTGCAATCATCATCGGAATCAATACATATTATTTCTGAAAAAAAGTTCAAATTCTCAGTTATAAAAATTACTGACACAGGACAGAGTTTTATTTAGCACCTACTCTACTACACCCACAGCTCGAATTGCAATATTTTGCCTGGACGGTAGGGTCCAGGAAAGGTTATTCTATGACAAGGTAATCTGCTATGTGAAGTATGTACACTATCAGCTATAGAATTCTTACTTTTTAATTTAGTTATTTGAAAAGGATTTACTAATGTAGATTCTATTTAGAACTGTAGTCTAGCCATGTTACTTTGGTGTTTCTAACTGTGATAGGGATCGACCTCCATTGACAACGCATGTTAAATGCCGGGTTAAACAAAACCCGTGTGTCATCAGCCATTTACTTTGATATTTTAAGTATTCGGACAACTACATATATTTGGATAGCACTACAATACTAAGTTCAACTTGATGATTTACCTTCAGGATCTTCCCAGCTCAAGTGCTTTCTAGAGGCTGCCATAAGTCCTTTAAGGACTAAATAAGAATAAAACAGGAAAAATTAAACCCGGGGCACACAAAGTACTACCGTGAAGTAATGCAATACTTCTAGATGATCAATGACACGTACGTGTGATATCGTACAAAGCAATATTCTCTCAGGTGTCTCGCAAACCGCACACCTCGAATACCCACGCCTCGAAAAAGGTCTACGCAGTGTGTAATTACCAGATTTATCTCTCTTCCCTTTGTTATCAAACGAGATCACGGAACGCGTAAGCGAAACTGCTATGTAAACATTGGAGTTGAATTCTTATTGAACATATCGCAGTTACGACCCTCCACTGTCGAGCCGTACCAGTCTTGCATAGGTTATGTGTGTGCCTTTTGAGTCAGTCGACGTGTGCGCAATCAGTTTTCCTTTGTGTATACAGTGTGTAATTACCAGATTTATCTATCTCTCTTTTGTCATTGATGTTATCAGACGAGATCTCGGAATATCTGTTTT